CTATTCTGTTCTGTTCTGTTCTGTTCTGTTCTGTTCTGTTCTGTTCTGTTCTGTTCTATTCTTCTGTTCTGTTCTGTTCTCTTCTGTTCGTGATGGAATAGGCTAGTGGTCCATGTGACGGGCCCCTGGTGGGGGGGGGGAAGCAATGTCATCACAGAGGATCCTCAAAGACTTGAAGAAATGTTATGATATAAATCTTGAGTTAAGTCTTGGTAGTCCATGGCCACAAAAGGTATTTAAAATGGTGAAAAAAAGATTGAGAATTGCTGGAGTGGGCTATTTCCAAAAAGACACTTTTTAATGTGTTACTTTCTAAAAGGAGTATTTTCCTTCTAATAACTTTTTTTTAAAAATGTTGTAGATGCTTTATTTGGAATGGATGTCTATGGAGATTCTCAATCATCCAGGTCATGGTTCTCCCTAAGGTGCTTTTTTCAAGAGGCCACTGGACTTTCTGGTTTTTCTTTGAAGACGTTTGGCTTCTCATCCAAGAAGCTGAGAGTTGAAGAAGCTTCTTGGATGAGAAGTGAAACGTCTTCAAAGAAAAACCAGAAAGTCCAGTGGCATCTTGAAAAAAGCATCTTTGGGATATTTGGAATGGATGTTTTATGTTTGTTTCTTTCTGCATTTCCTACAACAAATGGGGCTTATTCCCCAATTCTTGTCCAGATGTAATCACTCCTCTGAGTTTAAGATCTAAATTTCTTTAAAGGCTCTACTGGCCTTGGACCTGATCCTCAGCCCCCACCCCATGGTGAACAACTGGATGAAACTGTTTTCTTCACTCACACTATGCCTGGGTTCACGCAACATGTTAAATATTAAATGTAGGTTTAACAACACATCACTACTAAGCAACCATATTATAGCTTAATATGGTAGTTTGATTCACAGAACATACTAAGACAAATCCTAGGTGCTCGCCGTTTGTTGAACTATCAATTGCCCAATCGTTTGAAAATGCAAAGAAACTGCAAAATCTAGTAATAAACGTCACGGAGTTCAAAATAAGACTAAGATTAAAGAAGATCTTAACTAATGACAAGAGCAGGCATAACAATAAGTCTTAGAACTGACAATGAAGTTATTTTTTTTGAGAGAGATTTTTTTTTTTTTTTAAACCAAACGTACATAAAACCATCTTTAATTGCAAACAGCGTGTCGGTTGGTTACAATTTTTTTTCACATCATTCACCAAATTCATAGCTTACAATTTACAATTTACCTAGATTCTCATATCATCAACCTAATATATATCTATATATTGTTATCCTCATTAATCATTTATTTGAATATGACTATTTCTTCCCTCGTTATCATTCAAAGTATTCTAAAATTTGAGTTAATTTTTATTATAACATTTATTTCAATCTCCTGAATCTATCCAATAATCATACATCTATATGTTATATTTCACATAGTTCTTCAATTCTTATATTGTAAAAATCTCTACCATATTTCATTTCCATATTTTTTTATCTAACCATTGATAAAATAGGTCCCATATCTTATAGTATTGTTTATCTTCTTGTTCTCTAATTTCAAATGTCAATTTGCTCATTTCAGCACATTCCATTATTTTCTTAATAACTTCGTCCTGCGTTGGCATTTTCTCATTTTTCCAATTTTTAGCAAACACAATCCTAGCTGCTGTTAATACATTCACAATTAAATATCTCAATTCTTTATTATATATTTCAGGTATAATCCCCAATAAAAAAAATCTCTGGTTTAAAATCTATGTGGTTTTTTGTTTTTGTTTTTTTGTCATTTTTTCCAACCATGTGTGGATTTTAGTCCAGTATCTTTTGGCTTCTGACAATGAAGTTATTAAAGTGGTGAACAGCTTCACTTTTTGGGATCAATCATGAACAGAAGGACAAGCTGTCAAGAAAAATGCCACAGACTAGCATTTGGTAGAGCAACCACAAAGATCTTAGGAAACATATTCAAACGTGATGAATACATCTCTTACCAACAAATATCAGAATAATGCAAGCTCTATGACACTTTATGAAAGTGAAATCTAAACTTTAAAAAAAGCATAAAAGGAACAGCACTGATACTTTTGAACTTTGTTGTTGGAGAAGACTTCTGAGAATACTGTGGACATCCAAGAAAACAAATATATAGCTTATTGGGTTTTCAGGGTTTTCACACAAGGCACAAATTATTCAACTTCAGACACATTATGCGAAGACCTGGCTCTCTGGAGAAGACCTTAATGTTGGGAAAGAGGGAAGGAAAGAGAAGACAACCAGCAGCAAGATGAATGGACTCAGTTGAAGGGGCAATGGACACATGGTTGAAAGATTTGAAAGGTTAAGGAGAAAATATAGTTGCTAACGGTGGTCACCGACTTGACAGCATATAATCAGTCATACATTCTTTATACAGGTGAATCCTTGACTTACACCAGTTCATTTAGTGAACATATAAAGTCACAATGGCCCTGTGTGATCAACGTTTGCGACCCTCCGACAAGCAAAGTCAATGGGGAAGCCAGATTCACTTAGCAACAGTGTCACTAACTTAACAACTGCAGTGGTTCACTTAACAATCGTGGCAAGAAGGGTCTCAAAATGGGGCAAAACTCATTTAAACAAACATCTCACTTAGCAACAGAAGAGTTGGGATCAATTGTGGTCATAAGCGCAGGACCACCTGTACTTTTAATGCAGTTTCTCTCAACCTCAACCACTTTTAAGATGTAGTAGACTTCAACTCCATGCTGGCTGGGAGTTGAAGTCTACACATCTTAAAAGTTGCCAAAGTTGAGAAACGCTACTTTAATGCACACGGCTGCCAGGCATTTTGACACAGAAATGAGTTACATAACTAAATCGAGCAAGAATGAAGCAATCTCTCTTACGCACTCCCCCTCCCCCTCCCCCTCTGCCACTCGGCTTGAATTCCCATCCTCCTGGGAAACTACGGACTTCCAGGGTCCCGACCACTCAGGGCTCATCCTAGCCGCGGCTGCAAAACAGGGAGAAAACTCCCTTTGCTCCGCATCGCGCCCTTCAGAGCATTCACTTTTGGGGCAAAGGGGTTTTTCTCCCTGCTTTGCAGCCATGGCTAAATCAAACCTGAGTGGTCGGGGGACCATGGAAGTCCGTAGTTTCCCAAGAGGATCCCAAAAGGTGCTTTTTTTTCAAGAGGCAACTGGACTTTTTGGTTTTTCCTTGAAGACGTTTTGCTTCTCATCCAAGAAGCTCAAGATTTGGATGAGAAGCGAAACGTCTTCAAAGAAAAACCGGAAAGTCCAGTTGCCTCTTGCAAAAAACAAAAACAAAACACCTTTGGGACAATAAAATAGAATAACAGAGTTGGAAGGGACCTTAGAGGTTTTCTAGTCCAACCCCCTGCTTAGGCAGGAAACCCTACATCACTTCAGACAAATGGTTATCCAACATCTCCTTAAAATCTTCCAGTGTTGGAGCATTCACAACTTCTGGAGGCAAGTTGTTCCACTGATTAATTGTTCTCACTGTCAGGAAATTTCTCCTTAGTTCTAAGTTGCTTCTCTCCTTGATTAATTTCCACCCATTGCTTCTTGTCCTGCCCTCAGGTGCTTTGGAGAATAGCTTGACTCCCTCTTCTTTGTGGCAACCCCTGAGATACTGGAACACTGCTATCATGTCTCCCCTAGTCCTTCTTTTCATTAAACTAGACATACCCAGTTCCAGCAACTGTTCTTCATATGTTTTAGCCCAGGGGTGAAATCCATCAGGTTCTGACAGGTTCTGGAGAACCGGTAGTGGAAATTTTGAGCAGTTCGGAGAATCGGCAAATACCCCCTCTGGCTGGCCCTGAGTGGGGTGCGAATGGAGATTTTGCAATATCCTTCCCCCAGGAGTGGGGAGGGAATGGGAATTTTGCAGTATCCTTTCCCCAGGAGTGGGGAGGGAATGGGGATTTTGCAGTATCCTTCCCTCAGGAGTGGGGAGGGAATATAGATTTTTCAGTAAACTTCCCCTGGAGTGGGGTGGGAATGGAAATTTTGCAATATCCTTCCCCCAGGAGTGGGGAGGGAATGAGGATTTTGCAGTATCCTTCCCCTGGAGTGGGGTGGGAATGGGGATTTTGCAGTATCCTTCTCCCTGGAGTGGGGTGGGAATGGAGATTTTGCAATATCGTTCCCCCTGGAGTGGGGTGGGAATGGAGATTTTGCAGTATCCTTCCCCTGCCACGCCCACCAAGCCACGCCCACAGAACAGGTAGTAAAAAAAAATTGGATTTCCCCACTGTTTTACCCTCCAGTCCCCTAATCATCTTCGTTGCTCAACCTGGATGATTGAGACTCTCCATAGACATTCCCAAGAGGACAGGACTTCAAACTTGGGGGTGGTGGGGCGGGCGGAGTGCGCAAATGGGGAGATCGCTGGGCCTGGTGGCTCAGCAGACTGATAGCATTGTGATTAACACCAGCTGCCTGCAATTACTGTAAGTTCGAATCTCACCAGGCTCAAGGTTGACTCAGCCTTCCATCCTTTCTAAGGTAGGTAAAATGAGGACCCAGATTGTGGGGGCAATAAGCTGACTTTGTATAAATATACAAAAGTATGAAGGCTATTGCTTAACACACTGTAAGCCGCCCTGAGTCTCTGGAGAAGGGCGGCATATAAATCAAATTAAAAAAAAAAAATTCTTGGCTGGATGAAATACCCGCCTAACCATTGCGGACCCGGGGTAAACTGCGAAAGCGGCCGCTCGGAGAAGGTTGAGCGAAACGTCACGCGCAGCCAGGACCCCCCACCCCCACCGCCTCTTCACACACCCCACCAGCCGCGCCCCTTCCCGGAGTGACAGCCACGCGCAACTCGCGCGCCCCGCCGGGTTGGAAGAAAGTCCTTTTCCGCGCAAAAGCGCCTTCCCTCCGAACCGCACCTCTCTCCCTTCTCCCCGCTGGACCAATGGGGAGGCGGGTGTGGGAGGAGCCCGGCGAGCCTCCCGGGCGGAGAAACTGGAAGGAGCGAAGTTGCAAACGCTCCGAAGAGAAGAGCGAGCAACGCGCCGCGCGCGGAGGAAGTAAGCGCGCGATTGGAGCGCGAAGACGAAGGGCTGAGTTGGGGGCATCCTCCGCATCCCCTCCCCGCCCCACGAGTGATCTCCTCTGGGTCTCCCCCCTCCGGTTCGTTTCCCAGCTCTTCTCCTATGGGGAGTCTCGAATGAGATGTATCGCTCTGGCTTCTGCTGCCAACGCCGCCACCGCGCTGTGATCGGACCGCCGGAGAGGACGGAGAGGAGCGTGGCGGAGTCGCCGTCGCTTTTCGAAAAAGCGGGAAAAGCGCCTTTCGAAACCCCGCGGGCGATCGGGTCCCACGAAACTTTCGGATCGGGGGTGGCTTTCGCGAAGCCCTGGGAAGAAAGACATCTCGGTGACGCTGGTCTGCTCGTAAGATAAGAGGTCCTCGCTCCTGAATCTGAAAAAGGAAGGGAAAACCAAAAAAAAAAAAAAAAAAAGCTAGTTTTTCCACAGAAGACGGGTGGGAAGCCCTCCTGTGACAAAAAAAAGAGGTCCGTTTTTTTGTTTTTTTTTAAACTGAAGAGGAGAAAGTTCAAACGACCCCAAGAATCAGGCAGGAAACCCCACCCGCAAGTCTCTTGACCTCATTCTGACCTGCAGAATTATTTTGGAGGAATTGGGGCTACTGCCTTCTCCCCACCGTCCTGAAAGAAGAAGAACTCCCCAACTCTTTTTCCATCTCTTCTCTTCTCCCTCTGAAATGCAGGTTTTTCTCTTTCCCTTATGTTTGCCGCCTTCTTGTTTCCCTTCCTCTCTGAACTGAACTTTAGCACCCTTAGCCCTTGTAGTATATCCACGTCTCCTCCGCCCTTTCTTGCTGGGTCTCCTCGGGGTTTTTTTGCCATGGCGTTGAACCCCACCATGCTCCCCGCTGCTACCAACAGCTCCTCCAATGGGACAGGTGGCATGCCGGAGAACAGCAAAGCCCTGACCATCCCCATGGTCATGTTCATTTTCGGAGTGGTGGGGAACCTCATAGCCATCGTGGTTCTTTGCAAGTCCAGGAAGGAGCAGAAGGAGACCACTTTCTACACGCTGGTCTGTGGATTGGCTGTCACCGACCTCTTGGGGACTTGCCTGGTCAGTCCGGTGACTATTGCTACGTATCTGAAACAGGAATGGCCTGGTGGCCAACCCCTGTGTGAATACAGCAGCTTCATCCTCCTCTTCTTTGGCCTGTCCGGACTCAGCATCATTTGCGCCATGTCCATAGAGCGGTACCTGGCCATCAACCATGCCTACTTCTACAACCATTACGTGGATAAGAAACTGGCGGCACTCACTCTTTTTGCAATCTACGTTTCCAATGTCCTCTTCTGTGCCATGCCAAACATGGGTTTGGGGAAGACAACGCTCCAGTACCCGAACACCTGGTGCTTCATAGACTGGCAGACCAACATATCCAGCCATGCTGCTTTCTCGTACATGTATGCCGGTTTCAGCTCCTTCCTCATTATGGTCACGGTGGTCTCCAACATCTTGGTGTGCATGGCCCTGATCCGCATGCACAGGCAATTTATGCGTCGCACTTCCCTGGGGACAGACCACGCCACGAACCGCCTGTCAGACTTTCGCCGGCGCAGGAGCTTCCGGCGCATGGCCGGCGCAGAAATCCAGATGGTCATCTTGCTCATTGCCACTTCCTTGGTCGTAGTGATTTGTTCCATTCCTCTAGTGGTGAGTAATTTGCTTATCCTTTTTCTTTCCAATATTATCGTTAATTTCCTTGAGGGGAACATTGTGCTGCAACATGAAGTTCCCTCCATTGTAGTTGTCACAACAAGTGATCTAAAAATTTTTTAACCCAGCAAAAGCAAGGAGCCTATTCTACTTTAGTTCTTTTTCTTGACTTGATGCTAATATTTAACACAAAACACTAAGAAAGACTTTTGACCTGCTCTTTAGCTGTTTACCTATTCATAGGGATGAGAAGATCCCCAAAACACCTTCATTATTGCCAATCCCTTAAAGAAATTCCTTGTGGACAATTTTAGCCTCATGCAGGAAAACGGTTTATGCCATATACAAGCAATAGACACACAGAATAATTGTGGCACAGTTGACGTTAAAATCGTATACCTTCACTTTCTTCAAAAGTATCATGGTGCTTTCAGGGAGTTATTTTTCAGATGCATAACTTTGCAGCTTTATATTCAATTTTTTTCCCCCTATTTCATTGGGTGGTTGGATAGACTGAACGATTAAACAAACAAGTTGCTTTCATGGGATGTTGTAGAATTACAGATTAAGGTGTGGCTTAAAGTAGAGCATATACTGAAATTGCAGAACATTTCAGTCAAAGGTTATGGAATTGCTTGCAGTTCAGTGTTCATAGCATTAGCATAAGGTTCCCAGATACACTTCAGCAAACAAATGTTAAAGTATCTTCAGTTATTAGAGATAGGCTAAAAGATTGAACAGTCTGATAAAGACTGGTTCCCAAATTGCTTTTTTCCCTTAACTTTAAAAATAAATAAAGTTAGCAGTATTCTTTGTCAAGTAAAGCAAGGTGTTTTTTTCCTATGGCAATGATAGCACTGTGACAGTTGCATGCAGTTATTTATTGTTGCGTGGACAACTTTGATAACTGTTTTGTGCCTGGCTGTAGGCGTTCTCTTTTTCCCAGTTGACTCCAAGGAAGGGAGAAGGAGTAACAACAGTTGGGGGTTTAGCTAAGACTTGCCCCCTCTTGTAAACTTTCCAATAAAATGCAGCAAGCTTCTTTTCCTTGGCAGGGATATATTAAACAACTGACAAGGCATGCTTGCTATTATCCCCCCTTTTCATTCTGTAAGCTAAGTGGTCATTTGGAGAGAAGCATGGAGAATACGGTTGGGTGTTGCAGAGTGGGCTTCTTGTAGGCAACAGACGATCTAAAATTGTTCCCTAACAAGAAGGTAGTAAAAGCAGAGAAACCCATATCCAAGAGAGACTGGGCAAACCACAAGCTTGAGTTATTCAACTAAATGCTATAATTTTACTAGTTTGGCCAGTTTTGCTACATAACTAAAATAATCCAGGTATGAATACCTGGTCTGTGATACCAGTGCATTTTAAAAGTAGTCCAGGTCATGTTCTTCAGTGTGTAACTGTACACTTTTCCATTGGTGTTCCTTAACTGAGACTACAACATTTTGCTCCATGATCTTTGACTTAGTACCACAATGAGTCCTGTTTTTAAGTGGTGAAGGTAAACATAAAGGGGTGGTTGGTAATTTCCTCACAAGAGATCTGGTAGCAAGTTAAGGATAATTGTTTTCTTGTAGTGCTTGTTATCTTCTCACATGGAAATGGCCCAGATTGGGGGGTGGGGTGTATGAAAAACAAGTCCCCTACCATTCAGAATTATCTTGCACAAGGAGAGTTCATATGTAGTAGTCTGGTAACGAAAAGAGGAAATTGTGCTTAATGAAGTGTGTGCTTCTGGAGGGGAAATACTGTAGCTAAAATTGGGCTCACTTCCTCCTTTCACACAAGTGTTTTGGGTTTTTTTGGTACCAATAATGTAATAATAACTCAGTCCCTCTGATATTGTTGCAATATGTACAGATATTGAGTTACCTGTTTCTTCCAACTATGCATTCTAAATATCAGTTCCTACTTTGTAAAAGCTAAATGATGGTGAATGGGCAATAGTGGAACCTCCCACACATTTTGACACGGTAGCTATTTTTGGATAAACTGCTTATAAAAGCTTTCTGGATGTAGTAAAATTAGAACTGAGCTAGACTACTTGTTTCTGTTTCAACTGTTTGCTTACTTTAGGAAAGGACTTAAATTTTCAAGACTTTTAAACATGGAGAAGCAGTTATATTGTCACATCTATTTGCAGTGTAAAGTGGTCAAGTCTACTTATTCCTCAGAAAGGGTAAACACAAGATATCCCTTGAGTTGTGTTCCAACTTTGGGTGACTATATGGATACATTCATGCAACTTTTGTTCTTTCTCTTTTTCTTTCGTAATTTATATGGCCGCCGAACACACCCTTGCAATTATGGCTTGTGATTTCTTGCTTTTGGGAATTTCGTTTTCTAAGCTAGTCTGCAGCCCTGGTGGTCTCTCATCCAATTACTGATTAGATCTTTATCTGCTTCGTTTTTTACAAGTTCAGAGAAGATGCTTGTTGCTACTTCCTGCTGTGACACACTCCTGGGGTGGGATCTTTTCAGATGGTGGCTAAGTAGTCCTTAAAGCATGATCATAAACTCATTTGCTAGTTAGCTTGGGGCAAGTGCCCATGGCTTCTGCTTTCCATAATAGATACCTCTAGAAGACTGGACTCATTCCTCTAAATTTTTCAACCAGGCGAAAAATGAGACAAGAGATAGTTTCTGTTTCATGCCTTTCACATATTCTACATTAATAGAAGGAGGAGAGTCATTTCTCACAAACCTGTTCAGGATTTCATAGAATGCTGGATAGACGCTTCGGAGATTACCACAAAGGCAAACCAACATTTGTGAATCCTCTTAACTTTCAAGATATTGTGGTTAAGACACCCAAGGGAAGGAATTGGTGGCTAAGTGCCTCATAACTCTATTCACAGATACAACTAGAGTAGAAATCTCTCTAGCTAAAGAAGATGATAATGGATAAGATGACACTTGTAAGTTAGTGGTGTTTCATAATGCAGGAGATTTAAAAATACTTTAAATTAAATACAGTAAATGCTATGGGAACAGAAAGCTGGACTGGATGGATTTTTTATTTGTTCCAGTGGGGATCTTATTAAATCCATCTGAGGTTCAAACTGAAATAGAACATAAGAAATTATTGTCCAAATTGTCTATTGGAAACAGCTGGATGCCAAGTTGGGACAAATAGTCTACATACATGCTTGCATCCCATTGAATACAGTTAAGGTTTTTTTTTTCAATATATTTAGAGATGCTTATGTAATAACATGAGAATCAATTTATTGCTGATTATTTATTTTGAATTAAAACTGTTGTATTGGGTATAATATTTATGTATCAAATGACATGTATCTACATGCTTTATCTTTGCAGTGGCCCTGTGAAGAAGCTTAGAGTAGAAGAAAATGATTTGAACCACTCTGTTTATTACACAAATAAATGGCTATATCAGTGTAACTCTCGACTTCAGTAGTGTCTGTGGGTAGTATTTTTTTATATGAAGATACATGTAGGCTGGTTCTGATACTACAGAGCAGTACTTGGATGTGTATATGAAATTTTGCAGAATTTTGTATTGAAGGAAATACCTGCCTTCAAACACCTGACAAAAAAGTTTCAGTAAACAATATTTTAAAAAAAAAAAAAATAAAGGAACAGGAGGAGTGGAAAACAATGAATGTTATGTTCAGTGCCTTGCTATTAGAGAGGGTTAATTGACTATGAAAATAGTAAAATGATAAGTAAATTTAATTTGTAAAACCCTCTGGAACTCATCTTGGAAATTGGTATCCGTTCATTTCTTAATAATCTCAGCAATGAAATTAATCATATAGAAACAAACTATGTTGGGGAATTTGGAGAAAGTAAAAGGAGGAGGAAGCACATAGAAAAATAAAATGTGTTATTTCTCCTTGTGAATTAAAACTGTCAAAGATTCATTGTCAGGATCCTTGTATGAATCCAACAGATATATTTCAAAGCTATATATAGGTTGTTTTCCCCTTGGCTTTATGCTCACAATAACTTTTGAGGTTGAGTCAATGAATTATCTTGTTGAACAGGAATTTGAACCCTGATTTTATCAGTACACACACTTTATTTTGGAATAACACATTGGGGAACTGCAGTGGTGCTCCATGGGACATTAAGTACAGCAGAACCTCATATTAGACCTAACCACCTGCTTCCTACTCATAGACTGGGATCGCTCAGTGACCTAGGCTAAACTAAAATAAATTGGAGAGTTTGTGATTCAATAGGTCATGCACCCAACCAGTGTCTTGAAATGTTATGAAAACCAGTGTCTTGAAATGTTATGTGAACCAGATAGACATGGTCTAAATAAACAATTTATTTTGTTAATATAAATTTAGTGTTCTGTTCATTGTTAACATTTAGAATTTGCTGTTGGGCTTATTGACTGCCAGCGCATATGTGTCAAATCAAATCAAGTTTATTATAGTCAAAGACCAGAGACCAGAACAAATAAAACACTCAAAGAATATTATTTGATTTGATTTGCATATGTGTCTTTGAAATTCCAGCTGACTTTCTCAAATACAGATGCTTACGGTATTTTCTGTAGTGAGACATGCTGGGAATCGATGCATGTCAGAAATTATGAACTTCACTCTGAAAGACATTTTACCCTTATTTTCAAATAAAAGTCAAATGAAAGATCTGATATTTCATTATAGTGAGGATTATAGAAATTGGAGTCGTAAGTTGAGGAGTACCTGTCCTAAACAGGCACTAAGATCTCCTGGGCAAAGGTTACTTTGTAAATTGTCTTCCTGCTTAATATTAACTAACCGCCTATATAAAGCCGTGTATTGGAATGCGATAGAGGAGAATTTTATGAGGGTATGTAAAGATTTTGTGAATAGCTCCTCCTTTGTTTGCTGTAGAAGGCAACTGCTTTTTTTTTTTTTAAGAGCATTTTATGGTAAGACATGTTTTAGACGTGCACTTAGGAGGGAAAAATACTTTTTCCTGGATATCAGCTCATCCGAGGTTGGAGGTTGACTCATGATATGGCC